GGGGACTGAAGCCACAACCCACACGTTTTTTATTTGCAATACATTGCTACCATTTTTACCAATTATTTTACACCAATAAGCCCGACTTTGTGGAGTTCGATTTCCCTAATAGGACGATAAAGGAAAATCGCGTTTCTATCGTCACGAACTCATGACAACATGAACTATCTCTTCATCAACCATCCTTCGTCAATATATATATAACCTCACGATATCAAGCAATTCGCATATTTATAAGTATCACGTTTCACGTAGTTGACCCTTCTATCACGTGACTCGCGGTCAATTGGTCTGCGCACTGTTTAATTGACAAATGGCTGTTTAAAGATGATTGACTCCTGCGTCTCGCTAATTAATCCTGAGTTGCCAAAGCTTAAATTCGCCTACATCATCCAAATGACACAATAAATTAAATGGCACTCTTTTTTATTGACTACTAGCAGTGCCCGCGACTCGTCCGCGTGGAATAGTGACTTGGGGTAGAATTTTTAATTATTGAGGCTGTTTATTAATTTATGTAAGGGCGCATTTAAGGCAGCCAATTTTTGGTAAGTGATACGTTGCCGCAAAACTCTCACCTCACATAACTCCTACTCTAATTATCAATCTCATTCCTACAGTCACTCCCACTATCACGCTTACTTCCAATCCACTCCCACTCCCAATCCACTCTCACTCCCACTCCTATTCCCAAAAAACAAAGAAAAAGATTCATTGTTCTAGCTTTAAAAACCACGAATTTCCATACAAACGTTCATCCCCTTTTTCAACCCCTATCAACACTTTTTCGGCATTAAAAAATTGCTTATGTCCTTTCTCAGGCTGTAAAATATCTGTGTACCAAATTTAAATAAAACACTTTAACGGTTTAAAACGCGATATATCAGTTAAACTTATTTGAAAATTATTTTTAACTTCGGTCCGACGTTTCGGATGGTTTGCAGCAGCCGTGGTCACGGGGAAACACTTGAACGGTTTAAAACGCGAAAGATATATATTAGTTAAACTTATTTCAAAATTATACGTCTGTAGCCACCGTTAGTCAATACTGCAAGGACCCGGGCCAGTTTCGCCAAATACCAACATCGACGAACAGGTGGCGCTAGCTTAGCAGTTTGTGTAATACTCGCGTAAACTACAGACTGTGTTTAATAAAGACTTTATAATTGCTTGAAATGTGCTTGAAATATAGACGCAATTACATAATTTATCGATCCCCTATCATACAACTTTGCCAATAGATCTTTATATCGGTAATATAGATTATTATCGAGCACTGATTTTATTACCACACATATTTATTACATTTTTATTTAATTTGATCAGTCCAATATGTTTTTTGATAGTCGGAAATCTACAGACTGAAACCAAAATGCGATTAAACTTCACGACTTTTTCGTCTGTGTACGGTGGTTCTCTCAGAGTTCCGACCAAAGTCCAACATGTTTTAGGAACATTATATTTATTTATTTAAGTCTTCATTGCAACACACACAAAGTATATAAAAGACATGATTCCTTAAAAATATTCTTAATAATACAATTTTTTGATACATTATTCTCACCAGTTATAGAGTGCAATGGGCGACCTTATCGTTATAGTGATCTCTTCCAGGCTCTTACATATTATATGTATATTGATTGGAAAAATGTTGGTGGGAATCGAACCCACGACCTGGTGATTATTAGCCATACATTGCTACTATTCCAAGGAACTCGTTCACGTCACAACCACAATATTGAGACGGCTTTTATAATTCAAAGTCAAAATACATTTATGTATGTAGGTATTTTACACTTACGAACGTCACGTGTATAATACATACTAAATTTGCAAACCCGAAAAATATAGGCCATTTTATATGTTGTTTTTACATTGTTATCTCTACAATCAAACTCTGACTAATCTCAAATACAACTAATGATAATATAATATCATGGTTGCGATTAGTGATCGATAGCAGTGATATTGTGTGGAGATAACGAACGTGTTAATTTTGGCAAAATATATCGTCGCGACGTTGCTACTTATCACTAGACTTTAATTATATAGCTGTGTCAGCGACTTCGCCCCCGTAGAATAACTAATTCGGACATAAAATTACAAATGATTTATACCCTTTAGCTGTTACCCACGATATTGGTCGCGTCCCATTGTTCTTGCAAGTTAATCTTAAAAGATAGACATGATTAAGTAAAACACTTTAACGGTTTAAAACGCGATATATTACTAAACTAAAAAAGATGTAATGTTTACTACTCGAGTAAACTATAGACAGTAGGTAGACATGAACTGTTGCGGACATTTTTATAATATTTATATAGATGAAAAATAATCTTTAATAGATCTTAATGTGACTCGCGTCTCCAATAGAGTAGTATAATAAGCATAAGGCTATTATCGACAAATTCATTAAAATGATACACAACGATTTAATGACAGAGGAAGACAGAAAAGAATGGGGTTCTTTGATGGAAGGTGTAGTATCCCAGACATAACATCTCGGCAAGACGCACCGTGGATTTGGATTTGGATATTCGGAAATCCACAGACTGAATACAAAACGCGATTAAATTTCGATTTCGCTAATGATATTATTGTATTGTTTATTAAGATAAGGAGTGAAATATATATTTTTATGTACTTTCAATCAAATACAATAAATTAGGATAATATTCTGCGCAGACTATCGTTGTCTTATTAACAGATAATAATTGTATATGGGTTGTGATATTGAACTTTAAATATTTTAATCAGCCCTTATCGCCCTAATCACAGATTGAAAACCATTTGAAACATAATATATTTGATATTTTTCTTTTTGATCGTATTTCTAATGATAAAATGTATGTGCAAGTATCTAAGCAATAGAAGCCATTAAAATATTACAGTAGTAACAACTTCAAACTACCTCGTTTGTGTAGTAGATATCACCTTTGTAGCTAAATGGTTAAACGCGTTGCTCGGCATTCCGTTAAGCGCGAGAGAACCTGGGTCCGAATCCCGGAGAATCAATAAATTGTTTGTTGGTAGGGTACAGTAGTCTGATCAACTTATCTATAAAGAAAACCGATCAGTGAAACGAATACAGAAATGTATTCGCCCCATGCCCCATGGGGGGGAAAAGGATTCACTTTTTCGTTTGTCTATGGCTAGTGTGTATGATTGCAGACAAACGACGGGGATGGGACAAAATGTATTCGGTTTACTGTACCAGCTTGTAGCTTCTAAGTTGGATCCTCTCTCTTACCAGAAAAACACCAGAGGCTATTATACATAATTAAACAAAGACTAAATACTGTCTGTAGTTTACGCGAGTAGTACACATTTAAATAAAACACTTTAACGGTTTAAAACGCGATATATATAAGTTAAACTTGTTTGAATATTATTTTTAACTACAGCCCGACGTTTCGGAGTCTCCCAGTGACCACGGCTGCTGCGAAACTTCGGGCCGTAGTTAAGAATACGTTGTCTTTATAAACATTAGAAACAAATGAAGCATAATTAATATGTATTCGATAAGCTTCTAGATTTAAGTGTAGTAGACTTGGCATACCATAGGTAGTAATCACATTATCGATATTAAAATTGAAGCAAAAAATATTTGGTCGTCAACAAAAAAGTGTTGAGTAATTGAGTTGCTGGGCTGCTGGTTTTTTTGTGGTTGGTAAATATTTACACCTTTTTAATAATAATGTTAAAATCATAGTGTAGACTTTATTTAGCAAGTAAAAATGATATTCTACTATTAAAATAAAGTATAAATAATGAAGCTTTATTTCCAACTGTTTTAATTTACTAGTATGCTACAAAGAATAAGATCTTGGAGGAACTTGGAAGTTGTGAACCGACCGTATAATGACATACAAAAACACTTTTTGCATTGTTTAAAGGTAATTATTAAGCCTACTGTAAAGCGTAATAGATACATACTATTGGAAGTATTAAAAAATAACTTTATCTGATAAATCATTAAGGGCAAATATACACAGAGCGGCCATTAAAAGCAAACATTTTTTTATAGATACTGTCTACAGTTTAAGCGAGTAGTACACATTTAAATTAAACACTTTAACGCTTTAAAACGCGATATATTAGTTAAACTTGTTAGAAAATGTTTTCTAACTTCGGCCCGGCGTTTCGAATGCTTTGTAGCAGCCGTGGTCACGGAGATATCGGGCCGAAGTATGTCTATTAAAAATTGTAAAACACATTCTGTCTACTAAGTATAAAAGCACGTTTTAGTAATGTCTATTATATAGATCACAATAACGCGTCTTGATTTAATACCAATCATTTGATGACTATGATGGCATTATAAATTAAAAATCTGAAATGAAAGAAAAATTACTCGTTATTTTTTACATTAAGTGTATTTAATGTTCTGCGTTTTTGTTTTAAAATATTAATATAAATCACACATATTTAATCTGGTGGACTAAGACATCATAATTATTGTGCATCGACATGCACTTGTAAGTCACTGTCAGTATCACTCTCTGTTACACTTGTTTTATTGCTCAAGGATTACAATTGACACAGCTTTCCTCAAGAATTTTTTTTTCTAATAGCATGATAATAGTTTAATAATATACCTGCCTAATAGTTTACTTTTACCCTGTGCGCTTTGATCGCTCGTTTGTAGGAAACCTAAATTCTTCCGCTCTGCGCATGATTGTATGCTATTTTAGTATTTCACGACAAGCGCGACGTGGCGCCCGTAACGTATTGTTTTTGCTTTGTTTACAACCGCAACAGATATCGTTAATTAGTGATAAAATTCCAAGAATTTGGTTATTAATACATTTAAAAGTGATTTTTGAGCGTTTTAAAAAATATTAATTTAATTACAAAGTGATTTGATTGTAAGCCACGTGTTTAGTTTTAAATACTGAAAACTTTGGAAAAAACAACTCAAAATCCCATCTAATTGCATTTTCTAATAAATAACCCGAAGTGATAAAAATGACGAAGACACAGTTCCGAATAAGGTGATAATGTCATCATGGACCAGGGAACTGGATGAGGCTGCCATCCTAGCAACGAGGCAAGGGTGGTGGCATGTCCTGCTGTTTTATTTGCTCTGTGGCCTTGCTGCAATACCGACTTCGTTCTTGGTATTTTCACAGGTAAAACACGAAAAAATTGTTTGAAACTGATTCTTAGAACAACCAAGAGAGTAATTTTCTTTTTATTAAAATAATTAAACCAATAAATTTCACTGCGAGATATATTATATATAAAAAGCAAAGTATTCAAACAAATGGAGCAGTATGAATTAAAACTATTAAAATTCAATTAACTTAATGGCTGCTATTTGTGTACTGCATTAGGACAGGTTTACAAAGGCACATAATTTAAAGCAAATCGACTTCAGAAATAGTAAACATTTATTGAAAAAAATACACGCAGTTCGGGTCTGTAAATGAGTACAGGTTCAATACCCACCATGGTCTAGTTTTGTTTTTTTTAAACGTATACGGTATCAGCCAAATCTCAAATAAGGGATTTTTGGTTGTCTTCATAATAAATTTGTAATTTATCTTTGATTCTTTATGCTTCTAAAACATTTTATATAAAGACAATTATTATAAAAAGAGAAATAGATTAATAGTTATTATACAGCGTTGGTAGCTTGGAATAAAACCCACAACCCATTATCAACATAACCTAAAAAATTAAGACTGTGCATATTATACGATTAATAAAAAAAAAAACGAAAAATACGTAGTTAAAATAAATTAATATATTTCACGCTTCAAACTGTTAAACGTGTTTTGTTAAAAACATATTTATAACAAACATGCATCAGCTGTACAAGGGTGAAGGATAGATCCATCTACAACTGCGATGAGCGACTTACCACGTCAGTCTCAAAAGTCTCTCCATTAAACTTAAACTAAGTGGAACCATTATTTTAACAACGTAAGATTGCTTTAAAATAAATTCTAGAAAATTCTGTGAAATCTAACCATTTTAGGTATTTACAAACGCAACTCCGGAGCATTGGTGTGCTGCCCCACCAGAACTGAGGATCCTGGGCCTGGAAGACCAGCTCTTTCGCAATCTAACTGTACCAAGGCAACATGGCGTATACGAAAGTTGTAAATCTCATTACGTCGATCCTGAGAAGTTCTTTGATGCTCTACATGAGATACAAAATAGGTTATTATTTTATCTATCTATATAAGTCAAGATTTATATCTGTTTTGTTCCGTGCAATCCTGGTTGAAGTAATTATGAATTGAGTCCGCCAGAGGCAGAGTAGCCTAACTTCAATTTTATGACTTAACTTATCTATATTTTTAATGTCTAAAAATGTTAATCTACAAGAGCATATTCGCCGAAAATTCTTTCACGAATAATAGTACAAATTCATTTTCGCCTAAGACCTAAGATAATTGCTCATTTCTTTTTCTTCGTATTGAAAATATTTTTATGTTATTAGGCCACCCTGCGTCTCCCAGTAGTCTCAATCGTGTAGCTGGGGTTTGATGTGCTTTGCTTTTAAAAAATGGCTCCCTTTAAATTCTGATGTTTCTGTTACCACATGTTTAACAAGCCAATGAAGTTGTTGTGACTTTTTATGATCTTTTGTCTCCTGTTTTTAAAATATTTACGAGCTGTTTTAGCTTTTTGTATAGTATATAGGTTTGTTTACCCATAGTTAAAGTTGGCAGAGTACCAAGCAACGCTGTGAATTCATACGTTTTTATACCCTGGTTGTTTGACACGGTTTTAATGAGATCAAACACCTTCCATTACTGAGATTGATATCCATCATCATAATGTTGCTCAGTCTTAGAATTTTGCCAAAAACTGAATAAAATCTTTTTCATTTTTTTAACATGGTATCAAGCCCACAGTACAAATTAAAAATATGAAATGAATTTTTATAGACACCTGATGTGAAAATAAGAATGGTGAAAATTGCAATAAGTTATATTTCTAACAATTTATTGTCTTAAATTTATTTAATCGAAGAAATACAACAAATAACTTACTGACTCGGGTTGTTTATTTTTCAATTTATCAAATTTACTATTAAAACTGTGTGTATTACTTCGTTGATACTGAGTTTGAATCAACATAATTTTCATAATGCACGCTAATGGGTATATTTCTATTAACATTTACAAAATTAGAAAACTATCAGGCGGTATTTGAACCTACGACAATAACGCATCTTGTCGATGATCTATAAATTGAACTATAGGGTTTACTTAATACACTTCAACCGTTTAAAACGCGATACTCATTAGTTAAATCTACTTGAACATTATTTTAACTACGGCAGGACGTTTCGTATGCTTTGCAGCAGCCGTGGTCCCAGTCTCCCCGTGACCACGGCTGCTGCATAGAATTCGAAACGTCGGGCCGTAGTTAAAACAATTTTAATAAACATATTTTGCGTTTCGTTTGCTTAATATTTCATTTTTGACATGTGTTGTGATACTTAAAACGGATTTTTATTCTCAGGTCACAGATAACCAATATCCATGAGCTAGATTATGCAAATGTATCGGTGAGTACGTACATACATATATATATGTTAATATACTTTATGTCAGCTGCACTCATTCATAACAGCGTCACGCGTGACTTCTCTTAGTACAAAGAAGATTATCCTTACATCTTTGTGTAAAGGTCCACATGTACTCAATGTTAGGCCAAGTACACATGACATAGAATTTTACTCCTTACCATAAAAAAGCTATATAAATAAAAAATCGATTATGTTCGAAACAAAAATTGGACTCGCGCAGGACTTGAGTCGGTATCCACAGCTTTCCGTTCTGTTGCTCTAACCAATTGAGCTACCACTCTCGCGCATTGCAATTTCAACCTTAACAGTTGCATAGTAGCTTTTACTTCTACCAGCACTACCAGAAGTTAACTCTTTTATTTGTTTTTTCTTCAGATACCTATCTTAAGTGATCTCGTGCTCGCTGTTAGAAGCAATGACACAATTGCTTGTCAAAATGGATGGAGTTTTAGTACGAGTCTATATAAGCGGACTTTAGTGTCTGAGGTGAATATACCTAGTCTTAGCAGATATAGGATCATACCTATATTATACTTTAAACCAACAAGTAATAAATAGTACTTTATTAATTAATTGCTCTTTGACTAGCATTACAACTAGCTAGGTTTAGCTTTGTTTTTAGAAGTTTTATTTTATGCCCCAATGACTATTTCAATAAAATACTTTTTACGGTTTTAAACGCGATATATTAGTTAAGGTATTAACAATTCGTTTTAACTACGGCCCGACGTTTCGGATAATTTGCAGCAACCGTGGTCACGGGTGAACCACATTATTAATTAAACCGATATAAACACATTTTGGTCTCTAATTCGCTGATTTTCGAGCAAGAAGTTGATCAAACAACCTAATACGTGCCTTACTGTTGGTAATATGAAACCAATCTTAATATAACAAGAGAATACTGTAATATCAAGCTAACATTTTTTGTATGTCATATTTAATTGTATATGTAATTTTATTTTAGTACTCTTTAGTATGTGACTCCGATTGGTTACCTCGTACCAGCAACGCGTTGTTCTGGGTCGGATCAATTTTTGGAAATCTTTTCTTCGGATGGATGTCAGATAGGTAAGTACTATAATAAGGGCTCTAATGGTGCTAATGAATCGTTATCGGGTCGTGGGTTCGATTACTACTGGGTCATATGTTTGTAATATAATAAAATAATAAATCACAGGCCTTTATTTGTTTACGTATAACATCGGGATACGTTTTATAGCTTTGTCCTTATATAAATCAGGAAATGTTTATAAATACCGCCATTGTTGTAGTGGTTAATGCCATGGACCGCAGATCATAAGTACGGGTTACCCGACATGGTGCGACATGTTACTTCACTTTTCGAAATCCATTTCAAAGTATTTCTCCTGTCAGGCATAGTTATATAACAGGCGATGTTACTCAAGCAGACGCCTTTGTGTTTTGGTTAAATTTAATGGCTCTAGCTATTAGAGCCCACCAAACCGAACTGGCCCAGCATATTTGTCCAACATTGGGACTAATAGAATGAAACAAATGCTAAGACATTTTTATCTTCAGATATGGCCGTCGCCCGACTATCATCCTCATGATATTCCTTCAAGTGCCACTGTCAATAGCCACATCGTTTCCAGGAAGTTATTGGACTTACATAGTACTGAGGATATTTTGTGGCTTATTTTTCCCAGCCTTATATCAATTGCCTTTTATTTTGGCTTTGGAATTGATGCCACCAGCGCAGCGTACAAACGCAGGTATATTATATCTTCATTTTTGCATGATATAGAACCATATTAATATATAAACATATATAAACAAAAATTATAAAACCCAACACAAATGATACTAAAAAAGTTTTCGACTCGGGCAGGACTTGAAGCGGCATCGTCAGCACGGAATTTTAAATTGTATAGTGCCTTCATGTGCAATAACATGTAAAAAGTAATAAAGTTTTCAAATGTTAAGAGCTACCTACGACAATGAACTATAAAAACTTGAATATAACGTTACTAAGACTTACGTTAAACTGCCCGCGATTTTTAAACTTTTTTGTTTTCTCCTTTTTTATAAAAATCTTTTAAGATTAAAAAATATATTTGAAAGTGTTTTAACTGTTTACAATTTATTTTAACTACGTTCCAATGTTACGTATAGTTTGCAAATTGTAAATAAGTATGTAATAAAAATAAATTAACTAAGCTACTTAGTAAATGGTAAATAATTTAACTAATACATAAAATAACTAATAAACGTTTTAAATACTAATCTATACTCGTATTATAAAGCTGAAGGGTTTGTTTGAACGCGCTAGGAACATCAGGATCAGGAACTACTGGATCAAATTGAAAAAATATTTTTTGTATTGGACGGTGCATATACAATATCATACTAAGGAACTAAAGGAAAGTGGGAAATGTGGAACAGACGCAGAAAATTATTCATAGTTGTACGTCCCCGTTGCGTGCGCTGCGAAATTGTTTCAAGATACCTAAAACATATTATGTATGAAGCAATGCCTCCTTAAACGATCTAAAAATGTTCAAAAGCATATGTCTATATTTTCATAAAGACGAGGAGAAATTTTACGCCCATAATAACTATTCTATGCGGCGAAGTCGCCGGCACAGCTAGTATTGTATATAAGACGTAAATATGTATTCCATTTTGTATTCATTATTGAACTTGACCTTATTTCAATTATCTGATTACAGGAATTGTAGTGGGAATGCTCTTTGCTACTGGAATGTGCTTACTGGCATTTCTTGCATATCTTCTACGAGACTGGTATTATATATCATTGGCTACAAGCATACCGTTCATTCTACTTTATGGGTAATGTATTATATCACAATACATTAATATATTCTATAACACGGTAATACTTATAGAGATTACGTTATTAGATGTTTATAGTAAGTAGTAACAAAAATAATAATTTGTCTAGTTTTTAATCTCAATAAGTTTCTTTCTACTCGGGTTGCCTGGAAGAGATCGCTTATAGCGATAAGGTCGCCCGGTACACTCTATAGATTTACAATTGCATAGTGTACCTTTATGCTCTTGCTAAGTAACTACTTATTCCTGTTCTGTTTTTGTGTGTGAAATAAATAAGTCCATAATTTTGAAGTGAAAGAAGTATTTAGACTGGAAAACAGCGAACAGTTTATAATGTCGGTTGAAACTTCTCTTTATTTCTTCTTCTTTCTTTCTTTCTTCTTCTTTTTTATTTCTTTCAAATTTCTTAGTATATTTGAAATTGGTTTTGGTTGGTTTCTTTTGTGATAGAGGTTGACAGAAAGGATGAGGTTTACACAATGGAAGATAAATCTTTTTTATAGTTGACGGTAATTCGTCATGCACGCGCAACATCTACACTTGCTACCGAACGATACAATTTATAGAGTCGTCGTTATACAGAGGAAAATCTGTCATATCTTGAATCTCGTTTGTATACACTTATTTTTTTATTTACAGCGCAGACTGATTCTTTGTCTTTGTTTAACGACGCCCTATACACTATCAATTATGTGTTGAGGTTTCATTGTATTGTTACGGGTTAGACTGGTTCGTTAGTGAAATGGTAATCAATGTGTCCGATCTTCATTACGGGTCCAACATTTTGCTAATCAATTTATAATTTTTCTGAAACATGTTGGAGTTCGTTAGGAAATCTTAATATTAAATGATTGGTTGGAATATTGCAATTCCGTCCCGATCACGAACCGCCGATGAAAAAGCCGTGAAGTTTAATAGCATTTCGGTTATCGTCTGTAGATTTCCGAATATTGTAAGCCACAGTAGGTAGTCAGTGCATCTTGTTTAGATGTAATACGGCTGCGGTACACTTACCCTCAAGTGAACTATAGATAAAAAAGGTTTCAATAAAATTACAGATTCGTTTTCATTCTGCCCGAGTCTCCAAGGTGGTTAGTCGGACGAGGAAGAATTGCGGACGCAGAAAAAGTCCTTAGAAATATAGCTGGGAAGAATAATATAGCCCTGCCCCGTGGCTTTCTTTTAGAATTACATGTGAGTAGTATGTGATTATAAATACTTTAAATAAAAGGATTAACTATAGATATAGTAGTACACATTTCAATAAAACACTTTTAACGGTGTAAAACGCGAAATATTTTAGTTAACTAAGGTAAAATGTATTTTGATTATGGTCCGACGTGTCAGTAGCAGTCTTCCGTGACCACGGCTGCTGTAAAGCATTTTCGAATGCTTCGTCGGGCAGTAGTTAAAATAAATTGTAAATTAGTTAACTAATACTTCTTGCGTTTTTTACTATTAAAAGTGTTTTTTTTTTATTGAGTAAGATAGAAAAACTCTCCATATATAAGTGTTAACACACTTATATAAATCTTTTTACTAATATTCTTTCCATTAATATTTCGCATGTTAACCGGAGAAAATGTCTTCACTGTATTTACGCAAAATCGTTAGTTAGCTTTTATCCAGATGTTTTAAAAACAGTTGGTGCCAGTACGAAACTATTGCATTGCCTGACTAAGATCAAATAACTTCGAAGAAGAAAATTTATCACATTATCGTAAAGTTTTTCTTATTATGTGGCGTGGAACCTAAAAACTCCATTATATTTTTTCCTCTGCACAAGTTCCTTATGTGGTCTCTATGGTTTTCAGAAAACAATAAAAGAGGAGGACGAACTCGAACTGTCAAATGGTCGAGTACCAAACATGAGGAGAACGTCTCTACGAGACCAGCATATAGAACGAAGAATAAGCAATATGACCACTTTCAAACCAGATTTCAAAAGGATTGCAGAAATAAATGAAGAAATTAACGAACGTAATTCTTTATTAAACGTTAACAATACAACTGAAAAACCAGTTGAAATAGACGAAAACGAATCTCAGACTTCAAATAAAACTAACACTATAGATAGCGGTGTTATAACACAAATGAGTTTTTTAAGACGAAAATCTATTCAAATAGTTAATAGACTTATAAGCTATGAAGAAGATGACGATGTGTTTGAGAATAAAATCATGGATGATCAGAATTCTGAAGGGGATTGCAAAGCGTCTCCGCTGGACGTGTTCCGATATCCCAATATAAGGAAGAAATTCCTGATCTTAACTTTCAATTGGGTGGCTATTGGCGTTGCCTATAATAGTCTAAGTTATAATACGCCTAATCTCGGTGTTGATGATTATTTAGCTTTCTTTATAGGTAAGAATTTACTAATTACTCGACTCATCGAATCGTAAATTAGCAACCTACAATATTTTTCAACGATTGTCAATCATGCGTCTAAATACGTCAATTTCAGGCGGCGCAGTAGAATTGCCATCGTATTTTATAGCATGGAGATGCATTGAACGATATGGACGAAGATGGGTATTCTTTTGTTTCGCAATAATTGGTGGTATAGCGTGCGTCAGTTGCGCCTTAGTTCCCGAAGGTAAGAATTAGTTACCATCGCATTAAAGATCTAACTTTATACACGTTAGATCTTTAATGACGCGTGAATTTACTTTGATTTGATTTAATTTGATTGTGCTAATATATATACTAATACTACACTACTTCTAGTTTAATCGATTTTGGAAATGTTTTCATCTGCTGTAGATTTGGTTTTTTAAAATAGAATTTAGGTCTTTTAATTATACAATCTATATATATATCTCTGTATATTAATTAACTTTACTGATTTAATCGCAAGAACGACAGAATGTGGTCGACGTCGTGGGTAACGACTAGTATAAGGTATCTCTATATCTATTAAGTTAGAAATACCCTACTTTTATGAGAGGAGGACAGGCAAGTTTAGAGTAAACTTGGAAGTTAAAACACCCAAAACCTATAACAAACTATTTTGTTTCAGACAATGGAAAAAAGTTTCGCTGAAATTAACATATAAATATGGTTTCAGAATATCCCTGGGTGACTGTATCCCTTGCCATGCTGGGAAGGTTATCAGCGGCGGCATCGTTCGCAGTGTTCTACGTCCAGATTGGCGAACTTCTGCCCACTGTGTTGCGAGCACAGGCCATGGGTGCTGCATCTTTTATTGCCGGGGTGGGTCTACTCGCCTGCCCCTATATTGTTTATTTGGTAAGTACAGTATGTATAGTAAGTAGAGTAAGTAAGTACAGTAAGTACAGTGAGTACGGTGGTACAGTAAATACAGTAAGCTGTGACATTCACATGTACTCAATGTTAACTAGCTTAAGTCTAAAACAGTTGGCTATAGCTTACACTTTTGTATGTTGCCAAAAAGGAGTTAAGCAATATTTTAATTTAAAAATGTATGACGTAAGCGGGACGCGAACCTATGACCAAAAGCGTACCTTGCGTATGTAGTTGTATCGAGATACGGGGCGGAAGTGTTAACATAAATACAGAGACTGCCACCGTAATGCGTTACGTAACGAACCAGTTTAATTTTACAATTGAAGTACGAACATTTTTAAAGTTAAAAATGGATTCTTTAAAACAAGTTATGGCTAATAATCAACAGCTCGTGGCTTCGATCCACACCGGATCCAAAATGTTTATGTTTGTAATCGTGTTTTTTAAAACATTTTTGGTTTCGACTGGTAATCTGGATATAAAATGGGTGGTAGGTGGTAGGGTAGGTCCCGGTCATGCACATCTTATATGGCGGTGGTATTTCACCTACCGTCAGGCTCACGCTGGTCTGTCTATGTCTATCATATAAAAAACCATAAGTTATAATTTTTTTGTACGTCAATATATGTATTGCTTTTTATTTGCAGGCGGTAATTTTTAAATCTCTACCATTGCTTATTATTGGCATATTGAGCATCGCAGCCGGCTTTACGACCCTATTTCTACCAGAAACTCTGAACCAACCACTTCCACAAACGTTAGGTGATGGAGAGCTTTTTGGACGGGATTTTAAAATATTAAGTTGTGTACAGAAAGAGGATGCCTAAAAATAAGTGTTACAAAATATTCGGTAGCTGGCATTAAGGAGAAGTAATTTAGAATTCTATTTACTTGATAAATGTTTAATTGCATAAGTAATAAAATTGTTTATTTAGCTATGCTTTATTAATTTACAAACCCACAAAATTATTAAATATTGTAGTACCCTTACCTAATATATCAAACTTAAATCATCAATAAAGGAACTACATATATAACACTCTTAACACAAGTTTATTATAAGTAATAAATTATTTTACCACCTAGCTTACAGAAAGTCCCTAGTTTGATTTCGTTTGGCACTATAATTTTTAATGTCCATATTTTTAATGTATATTAGAAAAAATATGAATAAACTATAGTTTTATGACAGTATTATTATAATCCACCTAGTGCGCAATAGCTGTACTCTTTCGTTTACGGTCTTTTCAAAATTAATTAAAGAAACTTTTCACCGCTAGAGAGCGCTCAAAGCCATTTACAATTTTTTTTAGATTAGTATAACTAAAATATTTCTTACTTTGTTGATGTTAATAATAGTGTTTTATTATTTCAATGTATTGCTAATTATATTATTAAAATATGCAATTCAAACAATTAAACTGCAAGAAACATTAACAAGCAATACCTTTTTCTTTACAAAATTATCATATATTAACATAGCAAATGAAGGAACAGATGCTAATAAAAAAGATTAACCACCAATCCTTATTTTCTCTGTGACTTAGTTGCAATCACACTGCCTTAAATTACTGACTTACTAGTCTACGGTTCGACTAGTGGGGAATGCACCATGATAATTGTTTTATCAATACAGTATACCAAAAGAACTGACAAGAAAATAAATTAAAATTTTGGAGGTTCATTTAATTCAAGCTATTCTAAAAGAGGGGATGAGGGCCCTATTTTCTTTTGAGCCTTACTATTAGGTAGACCGGTAGACCGGGGCTCTTGACCACATAGCTACGCTACTGGTGTGAATTAAGTTATTTGAATTTAAATTATCTTACCACTTTCATAAAACAATTTGGAATCTCTAAAAGTCCCGCAATTAGTATACACCAGATAATATTGTATATTTAAATAATTCTCAATATAGCACACATCATAATTTTCCCCGGACTTTGTCTGGAGTTTAAAAAGGGTGATAAGAATATCGAAAATTCCTTCCAGGACACGTCCCACCGACCATAGAGAAAAAGCCACGAAGTTTGATCGCGTTTGTGTTTCAATGGATATTCTAAAACCAACCAAAGCCAAAATAGATTGACAACGTATTTTTCAAAGATGAAATATGGCTGGGATTTCATATTTCGTTCTAATAAACTCCAAGCTTGCCTCACCTTCTCTATCATAAAATAATACTCTAAAACTACGTTAGAGATAAAGCTATATAGGGCTTACCCTATACTTGGTTCGTAAACTTTACCATGCGCCACATTTAATCGGATTTGCACTTCACAAAAGCAAAAGAATAAAAACCGCCAATAAAACAAGAAAATGCAATCTCGTGACATATCTCACGATAATTAGAATTACTGCGCGTTGCGTAACAACGTGAGTAATGCTTGAGGTTCACATGAACTAAGGTTGTGTATACATCAATATTAAACCAGAACAAAATGATAAACCCCGATATAAGGTCTTGGCGTTAAAATTCCCTTTTTGGTGCCAATCATTTCATTAATTCATTTCATATTACATTCGGATAATTGCTAGTTCCCACTGCTATGACTCCAAATGGGATATAAAGGCTTCAAGCTACAATTTTGTATAGCAGGCAAAATTCGTGATCGTTATTTACACAACTCAAATTTTACAGCGTAGCGCCTATAAGTATGTAGATATACTGAAATATCTTTCTTTTTTGTTTTTCGCTGGGATGCGCATCCAAGACCTCCATTCTAATCCTGTCACTCTGTAACTATTCAAGTATATAGGCGGAAAATGTCATTACCGATAACTTCAGAAATAAGAACATCTTGGCCCTCAGTTTTTTAAGATATCTCTTCATTATGATAGAGGTGGACAGACAACCGAGGGGTTCGCTAGATGAAAGGTGAAACACCTCAGCACACCATATAACAGCTGAGCTAGATGGGTTGTCTACCTATTTTGGCTTTGGATAGTTGGAAATCCACAGACTGAAATCGAAACGCGGTTAAATGAGTAATTCTTATATGGACTAAAGAAATTATACACAAGTTTCTTACTGAATAATATTGTTCCTTCGTTAATTTGAAGTTTCAGCTTTCATACGCTTAGATTATTAGGAACGCTGCATCAAAGCATTAGGCGCAGGCTGTGGAATGAAATAAATATAATTCGATTTGTGCAAGACAAACTTATTGCAAACTGTAAAGTAACATTTAATTTAGATAAAAGATTCACTGGATACTGCATTTATATACTTTACCCACAATTTGTCACAATCCTATGCGTCTTCCATGGGACATTTTTATAAATAATCAATTTTTTTTTGATCAAATATTATTTCTCCTCGAATTGAACTTAGGACGTCTCGCGTTTAAAGCAATAGTGGTTAAACAATTGCACCGCGGAGATGGTCAGTGTTACCAGGTTTATTCCAGTTTTAAACTGCATTTATAGAAAATGTCAGACAGAAACAATTTATGTTGTATATAAACAAACGAATTAATTAACCACTGACTCATTGTAAGTATTATTTAATTGCAATAAACAATGTAAAAGGATTTCTTAGTTCTAATATATGTTCAACAATGAAGTTATTTGAAACGGTTATTACACTTCATGTCCCACTGTTGGACATATATCTCTGTTTAAATAAAACACTTTAACGGTTTAAAACGGCGAGACCCCCCAGTTTCCCCGTGACCACGGCAACTGCAAATCATCCGAAACGTCGGGCCATTGTTAAAAATAATTTTCAAATAAGTTTAACTAATATAAATAGCGTTTTAAGCTGCTAAAATGTTTTATTTAAATGTGTACTACTCGCGTAAACTACAGACAGTATAAGTCTCTGTTTTTATTAGGTTAAACCTACAGTGGCGTAGCTATCGTAGGACCAGGTGGTGTAGTGCACCAGGAACCCCGGAACTCAGGGGCCCTCTAACCTTATCTTTGAGAAGATATAAGCGTAGAAGAAAAGGATCTTTAACGTACTTGTTTCTTGTTCTTTAACGTATTCATAATTTTTGAGGTTTAAATGAACCTCAAAAATTATGAATACGTTTCAAGCTATGCTAGAAGAGGGGACCCGATTCTTTCTAGAGCCTCAGGATTAGGTAAACGGGGGCCCTTTTCCACCTAGCTACACTACTGTAAACCTACCCGAAAAGATAAAGTATTTTAAACACGTGTATATTTTAATAGCATTTATTTTAAGGCTGAAAACTATTTTGTGTTTTACTTGGGTTTCAAATGTAGGATGTTTAAATAAATACTTAGCTAAACATTCGTTCCTTCTTATATAAATTACGCAGACCGACTGACATGGGACTAACTTTTTAGAAAGTAAATTATAATTTACTTTAAATACTGTACACTATAAAAATAAGTCAATCTTTTTTTTGGACAATTGGAAATCTACAGACTGAAACCGTACCTAGATTTATTATTTACGGGTAGTTTGCGACCTGAAAAAGAAACATACATACAGGTGTAACATGTTTAGTTTATTGTAACACTAAAAGATGTTTGTGTTACACGGATACCCAAAAAATATCTAAATAATATTTATTAACTTCTAGGAATTACAATTTGTCTACATATCGAACAATTAAAACATCGTACATCCAACACCAAATTACTTTTACCTCAACTGCAGTCAAAACATTTATATCACAATTATAATCACTAGTTATATAATATTTAAAATGGCACGCGTCTCCAAATTATCATCACACACATGCACCGTCTGTGCATATACACAATGTTGCTATGTGTGAGTAGCCCTATGTCGAAATCTCTTAAATAGGGCGAGCCCTACTACTAATAGAAAAATACAGGGCCAGCTGTACACATTTTATTTTCTACTAGCTGATTCCTCAAATGTTAATATTATAATTTTGACACAACTATGACAAATAATTGATAATAATTATTAAAAGATAGATATATACTCTCGCGAACATATTTTGATAGCATTTAAACGGGAATCATTCATTCATGCATATTTGGTTTAAACCGTTTTCGCATCGCACGCAACGGCAGCCCTCGAAGACGAATATTTTTTTACATTACCTCACTCTTCGCTTCTATATAATCGCAGCGTATATATGTCTTTATTACTTTAATTAAAAACTGAATATTAATTGTGATGTTCGTCAAAGTCTTGTCTGTGCGCATGTTCATAGGATAATTTTAATGCACCAACTCTATTTGATAACAGACAACTAAGTTTACAAGAAGGTAAGTTAAGGATTACTTGAAACTTCTACAAGACTTATTATGATCAAACTATAACTAATAAGACAACGTAATACCTATAAAATAAAGATTCAAGTTAGGCTTCTTCTTACGATAATAAATCAAACGAGTACAATATTATAATGTCTTAGTGCAAAATAATGGAGAAGATTTTTTAACATGGTAATTCAAAAATTTGTTGTAGAACTGATAACTTCATTTGGGACTATCGTAACGTAACGCGTTATGGCGTCGGTATCACCGATCTGTTTTCTAAATGTTAATTTTTAGTTCATGATTAACTAAAGTGAGTGCTTCCACCGGTATCCACATAAGATTTTGAAGTACCCTTTAGCATATAAACATTTTGAAAAATTATTCATGACTATCCTATTACAATATTATATTTGTCCTAACTACAATAATTTTAATAGGTAAATCATAAATTTATAAAAATAACGGTCTAAGTTCGGCCCTGGTATCAAAGTTAAAAACATTGTTTGCATCTTTTAGTTACGATTTTAGGTCACACACCTCAGTGTGTGCGTCGCTAACATTACTATTTTAACTATTATAAAGTTATCTCGATATTGATAGTGCTAATAAAATTATGGTT